CATGTTCTCACTCATAGGTGGGAACTGAACAATGAGATCACTTGGACACAGGAAGGGGAAAATCACACACCGGGGCCTATTGTGGGTAGGGGGTAGGGGGGAGGGATAGCATTAGGCGATATACCTAATGTAAATTACCAGTTAATGGGTGCAGCACACTAACATGGCACATGTATACATATGTAACAAACCTGCACGTTGTGCACATGTACCCTAGAACTTAAAGTATAATAAAAAAAAAAATGAGAAGACTCAAGTTCAGAGAGAGTAATGGTCTCACGGCTGTGAAGGAATAGAAATCAGTTTTGGAACCTAGAGGTATCTGATGCAAATTCCATTATTCCACACTGGCTTTTTACTTGTTTTGGGGGGCTGTCAATGATACCCAAGAGAGAGGAAAGGAAAAGAAAGGGGGACAGAGTCAGCTGAAAGAAGAGCAGATAAGACATGACAGCTCTGTTGAGTTCACAGCACTTACTGTTTGTCTTCAACTTCCCAGGCTCACTGCTGCGGCTGCCCGCCTGGTTGATGGCCTTGACCATGAAGATGTACTTGGTGCCGCTCTGCAGACCGTGTACCGTGTAGTGGTTCTGCTTGATGTTGGGTACTATCATCCAGCTATCAGCCGAGTTACACAGACCTGCAAAGCCAATCAGACATGGTGCAGTTCTTTGGCACAAGGGGAGCAATGCTTGCATAATTTTAAGTTGAATAATTTCAATTTATTTGAATAGAGTTGGTAAGTGAAGTGCTTTGTTCTGATAGCCACGTATGAAAAATTGACTTCACTAATATAGATGTGGCAGATTGCATTTTTGTCTCCAAAATTCTCCCTGCCCTGTATATCCAGGCCCAAATGACTTTGCAGGTGCTCCTTCTAAAGAGGTGCAATATATTTCCCTGTCACACAGCTTTGAATTTGGTCAAGTGACTTACTTTAGTCAATAGGATGAGGCTGAAATGACAATGTGCTAGTTGCAAGAGCAGGCATGACAAAGCCTTGAGGATTTCTGTTGACCCTTTGTGTCTGCCACTGCTCTGGAGAAAATATTCCTAGGATACTCTGTTCATTCCAACAGGATGAGACAGGGAACAGCTTTACCACACAGCCAACGCCCAGCCAGTGCAGGAGTGAACCAAGCAGAGATCAGCCAACACCAACCAACCTCCAACAGGGAAGCTAAGAAATGATCATCAGGATCGTTTGTGATCTTGTATTAGTGTGGCTGTAACTAACTGATGTAGGAGACATATTCCTAAGAGAATTCTGGAGCAGCAACACCTGGGCAGCTCAGGGTCTGGTGCAGATCTTGAGAAAGTGTCCACAGGGATTTTTGACCAGCTGCATCCCTAGGATGACTGGTTCCAGAGTGGAGTGGGGCTGTTGCTCTGGCTGCATCCTGTAGGATGTGGGTTGGGGAGCAGACCGAGGATTTATAATGCTTGGAAGAATATGTAGGAAAAGGAAGCCCATTTTGTTTTGCAGCTGGTTGACGGTTGAAAACATCTCTTTGGTATCAGGTCCAATTTCCCTCTCTCTTTTTTCCATCCATCAGTCTCCACTCCAGTAGAACCTTTTCCCAAACCCCTGGTGACCAGGCTGTCAAGAAGTTTCCTGACTCTGTTGATTTCCTTCAGTGGTCCCTGGGAGAGGGCTGGGCCTCCTTCACTTACAGAGGACTCCAAAGCCACCACCCAACTCTTCTTTCAGTTGATTTGCAAGTCAAAGGGTTAGTTCCTTTGATCTTGAGGCAACTTATACTTTACCAGACTCTCAAAAAGCAGTCCCTTAATCTTTTTTTTGGTCTCACCTCATTGAGAATCTAATAAAACCTTTCTGTAGAAAGAAATTCACAAATGCATATACATACCAAACCACAAATATTTGCATAGCGTTTCAAGGTAGTCACAGGCTCCTGAAGCCTGTCTTTGAATCTTACTGAATACTTTCTCCATCTTTTGAGTTAAAAAGTATTCATGGTATTGTCACAGTTGAAAAAAAGTTAAAAGTATTTTGTCAATTGTGAAAATTCACCTTATATGATTTCCATCTTGGGTGCATAGTATTTTCAAGTACACATCAGTGAATTTTATATATATATATATATATATAGATAGATATAGATAGATATATATATATAGATATATATATAGATAGATGTCTAAAGATACACACACATACACACACACACACACACACACTCACATATATTTGGTCTTGTGAATTTTCTGTTGCCTCTTTTTTTTTTTTTCTACCTGCAAACATTTTCACCAGTGGACTGCCAGATTTGAAAAAGCCAGCTTGAAGCAAGAATGTAATTTAGGACTCATAGAAGGGTTTGAGTGTGTGTGTGTTTATATTTGGAGATTCAGCAGAGCAAAAAGAGGCACAATCCATCCCTCCTCCGAAAATTTATTTTCTCTAACTCTTAGCCCTCTGTTTTCCTACCAATTCTCATTTGTATAAGATGCAGGAAAACATCCACAAATAGTTTAGTAACATGGGAATTTCCTTACTATATATCCCTTCTGATCTTCCTTCACCTTACCTTTTCCTTGAACATAGCTATAATAAACTCCATACTTCTGGATAATGCCACAGCCAAATATTAGATTTTGATCCAATCAAAGAAGGGTCATTTTGAACTCTGAGTTCTGGGCCCCAAGAGGCCTATAACTCTCTTTAGGTACTTAATATTATTACAATAGTAATAAAACAAAAAAGTAGCTTTTCTATTATGTAGGATAGTCTACTCATATTCCTAGATCTTTGTCAACGGCAGTCAGCCACAAATGAGAAAAATTAAGGCATCCAGTAGATTCAAATGAGAATCCTATCAATTTCACTGCTTTTACACTGTTCCTGTTTAATTGAATATGTTACAATAAAATGACTATTGTGGTCAAAGAAAGCAAGTGTAAAAATGTTTCAATAAACTTTACATCACTGTACAACCCAAAAGCTGGGTTTAATGTGGTGGGGGAACGCTTTCAGCAACATCATAAAGCAGATGTCTGAAATTGCTGCAAACTGTAACTTGGCCTAAAGTCCAAAGTCTTAGCCCAACAAAGATTTTATGTTTCAGAAACCTTTTCCAGACAAAAAGGGACTCTGACTATCCTGATTATTTTGAAGAGGTCCCTATTTTTTTCCTCGAAAATTAAAAGAACAAAATGTTTATGAAGTAGTAAAATTTCATTGGTTAGCTTTATACTGGGACAATCTACTTTCATGAATACTAACAACTATTACTGTTTAGGTTTACCTTTATGTTATTATTATTGCCAAGATAATAATTGAGAAGTTGATTAAAAATGCCAGGAAAGCAACACTGACAATTTTCTTTTGGGGGCTGGAGTAAGTGGGGTGACTTGGAGTGCAGCATTACTGGTGTTGGTCTTACGCCAGCACCACCTAACTTCTTGCATATGACACTGAGTTTGCTTAAGCAAGACTTCTCTGCCTTGACACCCTACTGTGTTAGGACTTTTGACCAGGTTTTATTCATCTCTTTATGAAACACCCACACAACCATCCTGATTGAAACTTCACTTTTCTCCAAACTCATTTTCAATCATCTTTGAGGGTGTTCCAACATTCACCTCCTCCGACTCAGTTTAAAATAACAATGGAGCTTGGAAAATAATTTGTCCACAATGAAACCTAATTGAGTTTTTTGATTTTATACTTTTTTTTTCATTCATAATGGATTAGAAGCATTTCCCTACATAATGTGGCTCATTATAAAATCTTAATTACATCTGGGATTTCAGAGCCTTGTATGGCAACTGTCATCTTGCCACAAAAAATTATGTGTAAAAATGTCACAAAATGTGGACAGTCTTAGGAGAGGCTGCACACTGGTTTCTAACATCCTTTGTCTCTTCCAACAGACTGGACAAAAGTGAACATTCCTTTCCTTCTTCTCTGTAAAAATAGTATATGTTTAATAACTTTCATGAATGTTTTCTAAGTGACTACAATAAATTAAAAGCAGATAACTACTTAGCCATTAAGGCTTGAAAAAAATGCAGCTTTTGATTTCTGCTAAGAATAAGAATAGGCTGCTGGGGAAAGGACCCAATTTAAGATTTAAAATGACGCATCAAAAGTAGTTTTAGAAAAAACGTGGAAAACGTTGTAAAATTAAATAAATATCTAGTTATTGATAAGCAATTCATTAACATCTATAGTCATAACTCTATTAATAAAATTAAAAAATAAAAATTAATGCCATTACTTTTGCATTTGAATGTATGTATTTCATTAGTGAGGGCCTTTTCATAAGATTGAAAAAGCTCCATAGATATTATCTAAGTCTCCTTCACTAACGCCAGTTGAAGGCAATTAACTACAATTTATTAGGATGAGTGAAGGAACCATGACCTAGAGACAGTAAAAGATTTTCTAGTGACATAAGGAGCTACAGCCAGGTCTTGAGCATTATATCTTCTCATTTTCAGTAGAGTTTTAGCATTAGATCTTGTCATGCAATACAACATCTGCAAAGGATATTTCTCCAAATAATAGGACAGATTATTTAACAACATTCAAGGAAAGCCTTTCACATAATGATTGTGTAAAATGCTATCATGCAGATACTCCTGGAAAATTGCAAAATTGGTCTTTCTTTTAAAATGCAATTATGGGCGAGTACAGTTTGTATTTTTGTAGGAATAATAACTTTGAATATCTATGTGTTACCACTGTGGCAAACACAAGACTAAGGTCTTTACTTTTATTATCTCAACCATGTGAAGCTAAAACACTATCTATTCTTACAGATGAGGAAACAGATTAGGAGGACATTAAATAATTCGCTCAAGACTGCAGAGCTAGTGAGGTCCAAAGTCAAGATTCAAATCCAGGTCTCCCTTGGTCACTACAAATGTGAAAAATATTTAAGAAGAAAATAATTTGAAAATGTTTGCATCTCAGTTAGCTTTTTATCTGAATGAATTCTTTCTTTGTCGCAAATTGATCCTGTAGGCATTAGGACTTCACTATTCTGGTTTAATGGGCATAAAGGGAGGAACACATCCTGATACAAACAACCCAATGAGAGTATCCAAGTTTGGTCAGCACCAGCAGTTTCACTGTTTTTCTTCCATCCTGGGAGAATGGGCCTTTCTGGCATCTATGCATTAAAGGTTGATAATCTTCACTAAGCCATTTGCATTTCTCTTTTTATGGCAACTGGTTTCTGGGAATAAAACATCTCTAGAATCACCCAACATAAAGTTCTGAGTTCATTATACTCAGTAGTTTTGTTCTTGTTGAATTGTTTTATGCATGACCTTTTTGCATCATCTATTCTATTAATCCATCATGTTTGGTATTATTTTCGATGCAAATAGCACAGAAATCAAGTTGGTCACAGTTTAGCCAAGTGAGAAATCCTCAGTTTCAAGCAATAAATATCTTCCTTTCATTTTGGGGATGAGGTGAAGCTCTGGTATTGAATTAGGGCCTTTTGGCCCCAATTCCTTGCTCCTTCCTTGTAATTTTGCAGGTCTTTGTATCCTCACTCTGGGCTCACCCAGGGGACTTCTTTGACAAACAGCATGTTAGCTAATGTGACACAGACAGGGGCTTAAAAAGAATGTGTGTAATTGAGCCTGCCCTTACTCCTTCATCTCTGCAATCAGGGGGAGAACAGACTTGAGCTGGACTGCAGGAGGATGAGAGAGATGTGCAGCAGTCGGGTTGCCACAGTTACCAGCCTGCCATGTGAGGGAGCCAAGATCAGCAGGGCTTCCTAGTTGACACTCAGTTGACTCCAGATGCATAAGCAATAAGTTGTTGTTAAATTCTACTTAGGTCCTGTGATTGTTGGCTATTCAGCAAAAGCCAACGGATACAGAGCCCGTCAGTCAAGGCCAAGGCTACATGTACTCCCAAAATGCCCATGACGATTTGATTTAAGAAATTTCAGGAGACAGCTGGGTGCAGTGGCTCACGCCTATAATCCCAACACTTTGGGAGGCCAAGGTGGGTGGATCACTTGAGGCCAGGAGTTGAGACCAGCCTGGCCAACGTGGCGAAATCCCATCTCTACTAAAAATATAAAAATTAGCCAGGCGTGGTAGCACATACCTGTAATCCCAGCTACTTGGGAAGCTGAGGCACGAGAATCATTTGAACTCTGGGGGTGGAGGTTGCAGTGAGCCGAGATCATGACACTGCACTCCAGCCTGGGATAAATATATATATAAGAATAAAAGAAAAAAAAGAAATTTCAGGAGAGACATAACTATCTGAGGAAGACATGCTCCAGGATGGTCCCCAGGATTCCAACTCCCTGGTATTCATAACTGTGTAATATTCTCTCCCTAGTGTAAACAGGGCCTGTCACCTGCTTCTAACCAACAGAATATGGCAAAGGACAAAGGTCTATCACTTTTATTACTCCTGTGATTATATTATATGACAAAGGTGAAGGCAAAGGGAGTTTACAGATATAATTAAGGTCCCTAATCATTTCATTTGGAGTTAATCAAATGGCAGATTATTCTGGGTGGGTCTGACCTAATCAAGTGAGCCCTTTAAAGGCAGGTTTGGAGGTGGGAGGTTTGAAGTAGCACACTCTCTCCCTTGCTGGCCTTGATGAAGCAAGCTGCCATGAATTCCACAACCACAATGAAACAGTTTTGTCAACAAATGGAGAGAGCTATGAAGTAGAGTCTTCCTAAGTTGAGTCTCCAGATGAATGCAGCCTAGCCAACACCTTAATTTCAGACTGTGACAACCTAAGAAGAAGACCCAGCTCAACTATGCCCAGAATCCTAACCCATGGAAACTGAAATAATAAGTGGGTATTGTTTTAAACTGCTAAGTTTTTGGAAATTTGTTTCGCAGCAATAGAAAACTGTTAGCACTTTTCCTGAATCAGACAAAAATGACTTAAGAGAAATACAGCATTTCTCACATGGGCCAAGAACCACTCTTTTGGTGTAAAATGACTCTAAATGTTTTCTTTTTCTGGTTAGACTATTCACTCATCAACAGACATCTGTTCTATCAGTCCTCTATGTATTTTCAGAGAACCTTCCCTCGGTGTTTTGCAATGAATCATCTCTCCATTTTCTACCTGCTCTTCTCAGACCTTCACGTGCTTCTTTTCTCTTATCTTGAAATTTCTGATCATCTTTTGAATTTCATCTTCTTCAAGTTTGATACAATCCCCAGTTCAGTTTATCCCAAATATGCTAGTGATATTAATCACAAAATATTGAGAAAACAATTCCTTAAGTGAAGACAAAATACATTAATTATATTCCCCCCTTTTTGTTGTGTTTTTCCTTCCATGCTACATAGTATAGTAGTGTGTGTGTGGATCAGTGTTTTATGGTCTCAGTATTTGGCATGTAATCATGTAGATATTATACATTTACCTTGCTTTAAATTAGGGTTTCTCAACTTCGACATTACTGACATTTTGGGCCAGATAGTTCTTTGTTGTTGGGGGATTTCTTGTGCATTGTGGGAGATTTCCCATCATCCCTCACTTCTACCCACTAGATGCCAATAGCACTCTCTCCTCCCAGATTTTGAGAACCCAAAGTCTCTAGAGACATTGTCAAATGTCCCTTAGGGGGCAAAAATGTCCCTGTTGAGAATCACTGCTTATATGAAGGAGTGACTATTTGGTATGATATTAGTGATCATAGATTAACTTGTGTTTCGGGTTTATGGTGAAGCACAATCAAGGTTTAAAATTTTACTAGACTTTAATTCCATGTTAAGTTTATGGTATATGCAGCCAAGACCAGTGAAATATAAGCTCATACAGCTGGAAAAATGCATTTAAAAATCATGTCATCTCTCTGAAGTGCAATGTGGCAATGTCAAGTAAAATTAAAATGCAAATAATCTTTTCCTAGAAATTGCACCTCAAGAGATTATACTACAGATATAATTCCCCATGTGTGGAAGGAAAGATAGGCAAGGATATCTTGAACATCCTTGGAGATACTGGGGCATTGTTTGTAAGGGCCAAAGATTGGAAACAAGCTAAATACACATCTATAGAAGATGGGATAAATGAATTAGAGTATATCTTTACAATAGGATATGATACTGCCTCAAAAAGGAATGAGGCAGTTCTTTATTTGTGCTGAAATGGAATGATATCTCAGACATAATATTTATTGAAAAAAACAAGGTGAAGAATTATGTATGATATGCACATATAGAAAAATATTTTAGAGAATTAGTATTTCTTTATGATTTGCAGTAGGGCATATAAAGTCAGGAATGAGGAATGATACCAGAAGAATTCAAAATCGTAGAAGGAGAGCAAAATGTTACTAAACCATTGCTATACAGTGCTTCTCCGACTTGCCCCAAAAAGCACTTCAAATATCTGAGGACAGTGATGATTTTTTTCCCAGGGAAATGGGCCAGATGCAGAGAAGCCTTCCTGGAATTATCTTTTCCTTTCCATCTCTGATGCTGGTGCCATTTGCAGGTCCTGGCTATTTCTGCCTTGGTGAATTACTAGGAAACTTCCCAGCTGATGTCTCTGCTTCTAGTCCTGCCCTGTTCCTCTCCACTCTCCACAGTGCTCCTGAGTCACCTTCTAATTATATCTCTGATCACACTACTCTCCTGCATGACTCTCAAGCCCACAGGGTAAAATCCAAACATGGTATGGCCTGGGTAGCCCTCTGCAATCTAGCTCTTGCCTGTGAATTAGGATTAAGTGACTAAGGATTAAGGATTAAGAACATGTGCTTTTTGGAGCTAGGCCAATATGGGTTTGAGCCCTGGTTCTATTTCTCTGTCTTCATTTCTCACTGTCTCCCTTTCCTCACTTACCAGCCAGGCTTAATTAGGCAAGATCTCCCAATATACCCTGCTATGTTACATCTTGATAGGTTTGCTTATGATGACATAGCTGTCTGGTACAGCCTTAACTTGCTAAAATGCACCTGCTTTTTTTCAAGACTTAGTTTAACCACAACTTCCCCCAAGACATTTTTGTCCCACTCACCATTTCTGACCTTTCTATATTCCCTACCTACTTAAGCAGTTTGCCAGAGCTGTTCTTGACATTTCATGACTTTCTCCACTTTCATTAAAAAATTACACATTCTTGGTAAATGGCAAGATTTTAATAAAAGCTTTAAAGGCAGGCCAATTATAGGGTAGAAGGTGAGGGAGTTGAGGAGAGGAAGTTGGAGAAGTTGGGGAGAGTGGATATAAGGAAGGTAGGGGGAGCCATTTGTTGGTATGGGTCATTTATACTTTAGTCCCATAGAACTTGGTGTATTTTTGCATCACTCTTTCAATTAATCCTAAATCAAATTTCTATGTTAAGCATCGTATGACTCAGAATTACTTGTGCGAGGAAAGAACAGTTTGTAGTTAAGAGAGAAAAGGTTTATATAATAAAAGCACATTAAATTGATACGAATTTGTTCAAAACATCTTTTTGTTGAAACATGATCGCTATTCTATTCTGTTCTACTTTGACATATTGTATGTTTCTTTGTTAAAGAAGTTTCAAACTTACTCCCGTGAAAAGCCATGTCTTCTGGTTCATTGCCATTTGCTCAGTTCAATTTAAATAACTCTGTGGGTTGGAGGACTGCTTCCTCTATTACCATCTCTGTGGCCAGCTACTACTGCTATTTGAAATTACCAAGTTATCTCTGATGCCAGATATCAAATAGGCCTCAGTGAGAGGGGGCACCTCTAATGTTTCAGGTAAGGTTGGAAATTCTTCCCAGGTGGAGCCAGTTACTAACATTTTAAGTGATGGGCCCAGGTCTCCTCTGAATGGGACCAGGTATTTAACATTCTTTGGCTATTTATTTTATTAAATCTTTTCTTTTAAAATATGTGAAGTAACACTCAGGAAAGTACATAAAACTAAATGTATGATATAATGACTAAAGCATGTAACTTTCACCTAGAAATTGCCATTAACTCCAAGAACCCCCATATATTTCATTCCAGTGGTGCCATTTTCCCTTTAATCCTGGAGGTAGCCGTCATCCTGACTTTTTATTTTTATTTTTTTGAGACAGCATTTTCACTCTGTTGCCCTGTCTGGAGTGCAGTGGTGTGATCTCTGCTCACTGCAACCTCTGCTTCTTGGACTCAAGTCATCCTCCTGCCTCAGCCTCCTGGGTAGTTGGGACTACAGGTGTGTGTCACCACACCCTGCTAAGTTCTGTATTTTTTTGTATTTTTTGTAGAGATGGGGTTTCACTAGGTTGCCCATGGTTTATAGCTTTAACACCTATGAATGTTTCTTTAAGCAAAATAGTTTATTTTGATCTTTAAGTTATGAACCTATATGTGGATTAATACCACGCATATATATATATATATATATATTTATATATATATATTTGTTTCTGGTTTCTTTCCCTTAACAATATATTTGTGAGAATCATCCATGTGGTTTGCTAGAGGTCATTAACTTTCATCAATATTTAGCCAGCTGTTTTTACTAGTGTAGTACAAGTGAGTGCTATCACTTTCTTGTTCAAGAAAGACAAGTCAATAAATACTGTGTGTTCTTTCCTTCCTTGTCTTCCTTTGACGTTTAAATTCAGGAATGCAGTAAATCTGAAGAAAGCCACCAAAGAAAGAAAGAAATAGGCCATGAGATACTCACTAACGACGTTGGCTTGTCCGGTGAATATGGTGTACTGGAGTTCGTAGGAGACCACACTGAATTCATCATCGGAGGTCCAATGCACAGTGATGGTGTCATATGAAGCTGTGCAGAGCTCTTCTCTAATTGTGGGAGGGTTGGGAGCTGTGGGGGTCAAGAATGCTTATCAGTGGGAAAGCACACACCACTGGGATACCATTTCGGAGGAGATGTTTGACAGTTAAGCAGGTCTTTCTCAATAGGTCCATCAGGACTACTATTCTAGAGATGGTGACCCCAATCTAAAGAATATTTGATTGGCTGGTTATTGCTTTTGTTTTTAATAAGGAGTGTGACTACAGTCAGCCAGTATGGACTTTCTGTGTTTACCATGAGATCATGAGAATATGTTTGGGAGGTTAAACAATACTTTCTTGTGCATGAAGGAAAACATGTCAAATAAAAAGTAAACAAGATAAAGTTTCATAGTTGCATTCACTTTGGGAGGTTGGCTAACTTTTTCAGTAAAGGCCTTGATGGTAAATGTTTCCAGCTTTGTGGGCCATACAGTCTCTGTTGCAACTAGTCAACTCTGCCATTGTGGCATGAAAACAGTTACAACTTATACATGTGGGCATGGCCAGGTTCCAATAAAACTTTATTTACAAATATAGGTGGAGGGTCAGATTTGGGCTGTAACCTAAAATTCACCAACCCCTGATCTATTAATACATGGTGCCAGATACTTATATATTTAGGCATCCAACTGAAAAAATACTTATCTTTGTTATCCTACAAAAAATCAGCCACATAATTGTTTGAATTTTTCTTTCAATAGATGTTTTGATGACTTATACATAAAAAAAGAACTTATTAGTCCAGCCCTATTTTCTTCTGATTTCTCAACTCATGCGATATTTCAAATTAAGAAGACCATGATTAATAGTTAATCATATCTAAAGGGTACATTTTCCTTCCCCAAGGAAAAAACTTTTTTTTGGCATTTGGTTAATTTATCATTGTAGAAGGCTGCTGTTTTATTTCTTTAACACATTCTGGAGCAGAGAAGTCTAAGTCCTACCAAAATAATGAGTTTAAAATGACTTCTACTGAATTGATTTCAGTAACTGGTTTTATGAGAAGAGTATGTGAGCAAGGAAAATATGAGAAAATGAGTGCTTTGCATTGTAAATAATATTTAAGAGGGAGGGGTTGGCAAACTGTGACTGTGAGCCAAGTCTGGCCCACTGCCTATTTTTGTAAATAAAGTTTTATTGGAACACAGCCAGATTCATTCATTTATGTATTGTCTATGGCTGCTTTGGAGCAACAGCAAAGTTGAGTAGTTGTGGCCATATGGCCTGCAAAGCCTAAAATGTCTACCATCTGGTGGTTTGCAGTCAAAATTTGCTGACCACTGGTTTAGAGAATTGATCCAGGGCCTTTACTTCCACTCTGCTATCCATTAGAATCTAGCTTCAAAAGGAGAAATATACCTGCATTCTACAAATTAGGAGCAACCTTTGCTTATACTATTTTAGAGTTCTTTCCTGTTCTAAATTATGATTAGAATTGATGAGTCCTAAGCAAACCCAAAGAGGAAGAAAAGTTTATAAAAACTGTAAATTTAAACTCTGTGTTAGTAGTCTTCACTTTGCTTTTTGAATATACCTCTAGGACAAATATCATAGAAGCAAGTCTACGGTATTAACTCAATTAGCTTAGCTTTATCTATTGGTTCTGAATTCCAGAAACACTGTTGAGCACCTCCAACGTGACAGGCATGGCATTAAATTGTGCATTAAGATAGAAGGGCTCTACATAACCTTTAAAGCATTCTTTATTGAATATGTATTTGTACATCTGTCTCCTGAAGTATTCACATGTGAGATTCGGTGTCATGTGGTACGACTTGGATGCGCATGAATCAGTGACACCAGTCAGGATATGCATTCCACAGAGGAGGTCCAGCTGCATCGTAAAATGTGCTTATTATTGTCTGTGTGGTCCCTGTTGGTGTGGGATCACTCCTGCATGGATCAGTAAAGAAATACTTACTCTCCCACAATTTAGACAGTTCATTGAATTATTTCTCCATTGTAGAAAAATTTTGTTCTTTCTGTATTGCAATATATGATTAAATAGAAAGAAAACGTATGTTCAAAATAGGCAAGTACCTGTGAGACACATGGTAGTAGCCATAATCAGGAAGGAAATGTCACCTCTATGGGTTATTAACTTGACATACCACTTAGAGGCATGTCATAGGAAAAAAAAAATCTTGTTTTTACAATGAGACAGGCTAACCTTATTTTGACTGTAAACCCAATGAGTTTGTCCTGGGAAGTCAATACTCAATTTAGTGTAAATGAGAACAGTAGCATGCTGCCAATTTCAATACTCATGGAATTGGTACCAGAAGTGTTATTTTCTTGTCTCTGTCACAAACACCACCCAAGGAATGGTGGGCTAATACTCCACAAACACTTCATTTCCTGCTTACAAATGGCATAAACTATTTGGACTTGGCAGTATCAGCCAAGCATCATATGTTATGGTCAGGATCGATGTTATGTCTAGAAATGGACTGAATTTGTACTTGGGGTTGACAGCTCAGAAGACATAATTGCAGGTACCCCATATGGCCTTTAGTTTGAAATAAACAGCCATCGGGATGAAATATGGTGTATGTTACAATTCAGTCCAAACTACTTTCACAATTTCCCCTTTAATCAATACTTTCGCATTCCTATAGAGATTAAAATGGGCATATGTTGTTGAAATACTATGAAATAATTATTGGGAAATGGCAAGGGCACATTCTTGTCAATAAGACTGATTCTTGGCAGAATGGCCATGTGCCTAGGCAAATACTTAATTTTCCAGCCTTTTCTGCCCTTGGACATGACCTTGTAACACAGATATGGCCCACCAGACATAAGTGGAAGTTTGCTAGGTGGGTCTTCTGATCAAGTTTTTCGTTTTTCTGATAAACAGACTTCACTGGCAGAGCATTTTGTCCATCGTTTCCCCTCCACCCCTTTCTTTTTGCCTAGAGCTTGAGCACAACACTTGGAGGTGGAGTAGTCATGTTGTGATCATGTGTCAGAAAGGCAACACAATGAAGGTGGCAGAGGAGGAAAAAAGAAAGAGCCTGGGGTCTGAGGTCATCACTGAACCACTGCTCAGCCCTGGAACACAGGCTTCTCTTGTGTCTATAATACAAACACTCCTTGATGGTTTTATTCACTGCTAGTTGGATTTTTTGTTGCAACTTGACTCATTCCCAAATGATATAAGAAAAAGGAGATTTTTAACAGGATGCCATTGTAAAAAACAGCTTAGCCGGAGAAAGTCTAGATCTGCACTGTTCAATACAATAGCCATGAGCTACATGTGGTGTTTTAAATTTCAATTAAATTTAGTTAAAGTTAAATAAAAGTAAAAATTCACTAGACACACTTCGAGTTTTCAATAGCCCCATGTGGGATTCAGCTAACACTGGATAGTACAGATATAGAACATATCTATCATCATAGAAAGTTTTATTGGATAGTGTCAGTTTAAATAAATCTCAGAGTTAAAAGCTTACATAGGAGGGCATTATGTACACAAGTATTTGAAACCAAGTTTAGTTCCATACGGTAAATGCTTTTTTAGTCAATTTCTTTCTTCCTTAATAGGAGCGGTATGTTTGAAAGAGAGAGTTACATAAGATAAGAAGTTTGTGGAATGCCTGCCTTGCTTGACAGTGCAGAAAGGCTAAAAACAGCACATTGGGTCCTAGCAAAGAAAAAATGCTCATCTTCTGGGTATAATGCTCCCTGAATATAGAACTCCTGACCTTCTATCCACAGACTGTAAAAACAAACATCACACAATATTCCCTCTCTCCTGCTCCACCTTGTTCAATTGCTTTCCCACAAACATGTACACACAGAATTGGAATTGAGAAGCTCATGTCACGCTAAGTTAGGGATGTAGTCTGTTGAAGGCTGTAGGTCTTAAGTGCAGTGCACATCTGGCTTCACTGTGTACATTGTGCTTTCCTGAAGTCACAGGCACTGGTGGCTTTGGCTAACACAAATAAGGTTGTCTAAACAGTCCAAATTCTATCAGTGTATGTTCTCAGTTCCTGCTTTAGAAGTTGACAGCAAAGAAAAATTTAGAAGCATGGTTAGGAATAGGAGTGGCCTGAGGTTTTTGTTGTTTTGTTGTTGTTTTTGTTTTTTAAGCTCAACCAAGGGAGAAACAAAACAAAACAAAACACCAACCAGGAAGCACACTGAAACACAGCACTAGGAATTCCAATGTGAATTTGAGACCTTTGCCATGGTGACTTTGCCAAGATGAAATTCAGTCTTTTACTAGAAAGAGCAGAAGTTTTTGGAGTTTGTACAGGTCCCCCCCAAATTCTAATTCTGTCACTCCCTAGTTATCTGATTTCCAGCAAGATGGCTGATCTCTGTCATTTGCAAAATGGGGATTATAATGCTTTACCTCAACTTGATGTTGTGCAAATTAAAACAAGATCACAAATACAAGGAGATGAAGCAGTGCAGACAACCAATCTGTTAGCTGCCAATTTTTTCTCTGCTAATGTATTGTGAGTTGCCTTACTACCATGATATGAAAAATACCAAAGAGAGAGATTATTTTTAGCACCCACACTTTGAGAGTGAGGGAAACAGTGGTAAGTATGCTTTTAATGATTGAGATTCTCCTTTTTCTCCTGTCCCCAGTTTAGTCATGGGCTGTGTTGTTTTGGTTAAAAACAAAGGGAAGTACACAGAAATTGTTTATGGAAATATTAGTGCCATTCCTAGGTCAAAAGCCCATTCCTCTGGTTATTGGGGAATAACTGATCTGGTGGCAAAGTGTTTATGTGAACAATATTAAAGAGAACATAAAAGACAATACCTGTAAGGTAATCCAGACATTCTAGCAATTTCTTCTCTCGGGAAAAATCTAAGGCAAAGGTGTCAAATGTGTCATTGAGGTTGATTTCAGGAATTAGAACCTGGGAGGATGCAGTTGCCATGGAGACTCTGTAACGTAAACAAAACAATGCTTTAGAAATGTCAAGATGACTTTCAACATCACTGCATTGAAATGAAAAAAAGGAAAAGAAATCTCTTTTAAAAAGTGCTTTTTTACACGAGTTTTAAGAGGCATCTCAAAATGTCACAACACAGTAACATAAAACAAATGAATGCAAGCTTTAAAAAAAGTGAAGGAATTGGAGAAAACAACAGACTTGCTTGCCCTCTTCCTTTTTACTATCAGAAAAAAAAAATTCCCTGTGAAAGCAAAAGAATATTCATATATCATGTTGCTGTGTATTTAACAGTCTGGCCTGGTCACATCTAACCCCAGCAAGAAGCGCGTAGCTCCAGGCATTTCTTCACACATCTGTCTGGGAAACTGTTTGTTCCTTTCAGACACAACCCTGCTCCACTTCAAAGCGGAGTCTCCAAAATTTCAAACTGCATAAAAGGCAAAGTGAATATTAAAAAAGAATGTTTCCAGATATTGGATTAGTTAAATCAATTACTAGCCCCTCTCTAAAATAAACATTAAAAAGGGAGTTTTTTGTCTGGCTCATTTTCTTTCTCTTTGTATTCATTTTCTTGCACCATATTCCCAGCAGATGCTGTGGAAAATATTCATGAGCTTTCTCACAAATTCCCCCACTGGATGTACTATTTCTCTTCTTCATTTAGGTTTTCTGGTTAGAGTTCTCATGTATAAACTAAAAAGCAAGGCACTGGTGTGTCTCAATCTCCTTCTATGTACTCTCAGGTTGATCTGGATGGTTCAGTTATTAATAATGAACACTTTGATTCAAAAATGCAAGTGATTCTCTTAAAAACAAGAGAATTGTGGCATGAAGCATACCATTTCTGAGCATATCAAATGATGCTGGACTAGTAGTCTTGTTGAGTTTGGTATTTCGTTAAGTTCCATAAACAATACTCTTAAGAGCTATTATATGCAGAGTATTGTGTAGGGTGCTGGGAATTTTTGAGCAAATAAACAACCTTGAAACAATTTAATACTAAATCTAGTTACTTATTTTCTAATTAAGAAAATTGATGCTCATTTACACAAGGCCACAAAGCTAGCTGGCAGCAGCAAGCAGGAGAATTTCAGATCCGTACTCTTCTATTTCATCTAGAAAAATTTCAGGCCAGTTACTCCAAGGGTTATATGTCCTTTTGAGTCTCTTAATGGCTCTTAAAGCTTTGGATTTACAAATATAAAATATCTTGGCTCTAAAAATTACACCTGTGGGTATATCTATACAACGGAATATTATTCAGCCATAAAAAGGGATGAAACACTGACACAAGCTACAATGTGGATGAAACCTAAAAACATTATGCTCTGTGGAAAAAGCTATCAAAAAGGCCACATATCGTATGATCCATTTGTATGAAATGTCCAAAAAAGGCAAAAATTCATAAAGACAGGGAGTAGATTGATGGTTGCTAGGGGCTAAGAGGGGAGGGGAGATGGGGAGTAACTGCTTAATGAGTATAAGGCTTACTTTTGGTATGATGGAAGTGTTTCGGAACTTGATAGAGGTGGTGGCTACACAACAATGTGAATGTTCTAAATGCCACGGAATCGTGCATTTCAAAATGGTTGTTTCTTTTGAAGTGGAGTCTCACTATGTTGCCCAGGTTGGTCTCGAACTCCTGGGCCCAAACGATCACTCTTTGGGAGGCCTTGGCTTCCCAAAGTGCTGGGATTACAGGTATGAGCCACCACACCCAGGCTTAAAATGGTTAATTTTATGTTGTGTAAATTTCACCCAGCTAAAAAAGAATATACCTGTAAAATGCTCAAAATTCACAGAAATATAGTTTCTATAGTTGTATTTCTGGCAGATTTTCAGTGCTGTACAGGAGGGAAGGAGAAAGGCTAATCAACAACGTCATAAACGTAATGATACTGGGATTGAAAGATGCAAGTGAAGAGGCATAAGCTCTGGAAACAAGAGCTTCAAGTGTTTGAATGAGGGTAGAGAATCTAACTGCATCTCCTGACCCTTTCACCAACAAGTAGTGAATAGTAGTAGAGTTGAGTGCTTTTGTTGACTAAATATTGCACCCTGGGGAATTGGGCTAATTAGTGTTACAAACAGCTGCTAATTTAGACTGATGGATACAGAGATGGTTGCTAGGCATTTTTGATTGATGGTCAAGTTATACTTTTAAAATGCTTTCCTTATGACCCATGAACACAAAAAGTCCTTAAACTTCATAGAGGTCCTAGGATCATTCTCAACACATATTTATGAAGTCCTTAAACTATGCTACATACCAAAGAGCCCAGAACATATGCATCGATGCAGAAAAGTTAAAAGAAATGCTAAGGTGCCATTTGAACTCTTAAAAGATATTGCAAAGTGAAACGCCAATTAATTCTCTGTCATAATGTCCGGCAAGGAGAACTGCTCTGAGCTACTGGGAAACAAGCACTAAACTTGCAATTGCATTTCCCTGGCTTTAGCAGTTCCCCTGCCCACTGGCAGAAGCCTCTTTATTCAGGCTCATCCAAAATAGATTTTGTTCCCAAGTTTCTCCTGGTTCCATGGTCTACAAACAATTAAATAAAACATTTTAAATCGAGTGACACTGTTAATAATGTCTACCATCTTGATGGTAGGAACTTTGTTACATGGGAACCAAAAGGATCAAAGTTCCTAGCCTGGGAGGCAAAGGCTGACAGCAAGAATCAGTGGAGATTACTGCAGTTTTTAACACCTACACATTTGTTTCTTGATGGAAGGAAAGATACCTATCTTTGGCTACAACTTCAAATTCCTAATTGGAGTGACAGGCAAGGGAAAATCTGCCAAACTCAACATTTTAGGCCATGTTTTTATTTCCCAAATCCTTATTGCCCATCTTCTGGCCTTTTGGATAAGTCGCCAAAATCCACTAGGGCTGTTAGTGCTATGCCACTTTCTCAACTTCTTGCTTTACAGCCATGTCTGGGACACATGGGGCCAGTTTTCCAGAAGGTGGACGTGTCTAGAGCTATGCTGCTCACAAGGCTTCTGCCAAACAATGTGCATCACCAAAGTAAAACCCAGTGAAGTCTCATAGTAACAAGACAGGTTTACTTTTGTCAGCCCAGGAATTCCCAAACACATTTGGCCTTGAAAACGTGCAGTTATCTTAATGCCTATGAACACCCTGCAGACACACTTCCAAAACCACTTATCAGATATGTTCTAATTCTTAGAACCAAGTAACATCTTTTCGGAATTGACAACTGGAGTTCTTGGCTTTGTATTCTGGAAAAGATCCTTGAACTGCCTATCGTAGTGAGGAACAGAAGAATCACCTTGAGGAGTCTGAGAACCTCCTAGGTGCTTTGAACAATAGGTACTATTCAGAGGGAATTTTCTTTTTTATCACCTTCTTGATACAGGTAAGTTACTGCTAAAAGTGATTTTAATTCTAGATTCTTCATAAGCAGTAGACCAACTTTCTTATGCCTGGACTTAGTGAATAGTTTTGCTTATTTAACATAATGCTATAAAGGTGCATATACAATCACACCAAAGACCTATCTACTAGTGTAGCTTGAGAATACAGTACATTATACATTTGCATTCATCTAGTGAGTGGGAAGGAGAATTAGTATTTGTTGCATGTTCACCTTGTGACAGAAACTAGGCTAATGTTTCTACTACATTATTGCATTTTATCCCCACAATAACCATCTTAGGTAGGAATAACTGGTCCTGTTTTATAGATTTATGGATTCATTCATTCATTCACTCATTCATTCATGTCAGGCAGCTTGCAATGTGCTGGGGCTATAATGGTAAAAACAAGGTGACTAGGGTACCTGCCTACTTGGAGTATATGAGCAAAATTAGCCAGTGTTAATGAGCAGCCTCAATGCTATCTATAATTACTAAGCAATTAGCACAGAGCCAAACAATCGGTTCCAAAGCAAAAGCATCTCCTACAATGTAAAACTTGAGGCTCTCTCCCCTTTTGGAGTTGTTTGATGTTTCTGAAATGAAAAAAAATTTTTACAGTTTTGATTCAGCTTGTAGGAGGACATATCCACCTTAAGTGACTTAATGATGCAGAAAATCTCATCTAAGTCTCACTTCAAGAATGCCTGCAGGATTAAAAGTTTGTTCTGGGATTCACACCTGAATTGAAGAATAAAGATTGTTTGGAGGTATACAGAAGCCAAAGCCCAAGGCAGGCACAATAGGAGACAGAAGAAAGAAGTCATGTCCTAGAGAAGAATGTTAAGTGACAGATTGATGAACAGGGGCAGGTAGACAGAGAGTAGCACCGGAAAAAAGACACACAAGGCGGGCTAGACTCACATGTTGAAACCTGAAACGTGAAAACAGAGATCCAACTAACACTCATGGAGTAAGGAACTTAAAGCAATGTTATCACAACAGTGACAGCTATTCTGAAACCAATTTTTTTAAATAATTTTTTTAATAGTAAAAAATTCTTTTGTGGGTACATAGTTGGTGTATGTATTTATGGAGTACATGAGATATTTGATACAGGCATGCAATGTGAAATAAGCACATCATAGTGAATAAGGTAACAATACCCTCAAGCATTTATCCTTTGGGTTACAAACAATCCAGTTACATTTTTAAGTTTTTTTTAAACATATGATTAAGTTATTATTGACTATAGTCACCCTATTGTGCTATCAAATAGTAGGTCTTATTCATTCTTTCTTTTTTTCCCATTAACCATCCCCACCCACCCCCACTCCCACAACCCCCTACTACACTTCCCAGCCTCTGGTAACCGTCTTTCTACTCTCTATGTCCATGAGTTCAATCATTTTGATTTTTAGATTTCACAAATAAGTGAGAGCATGCAATGTTTGTCTTTCTGTGCCTGGCTTATTTCACTTAATGATCTGCAGTTCCATCCATGTTGTTGCAAATAACTAGATCTCATCCTTTTTTATGGTTGAATAGTACTCCATTGTGTATATGTACCACATTTTCTTTATTCATTCATCTGTTGATGGACACTTAGGTTGCTTCCAAATCTTAGCTATTGTAAAAGTGCTGCAACAAACACAGGAGTGAAGATATCTCTTCTATATACTGATTTCATTTCTTTTTGGTGTGTACCTAGCAGTAGGATTGCTGGATTATACGGTAGCTTAAGTTTTGTTTTTTTAAGGAACCTCCAAACTGTTCCTTAACCCAATTTTCTAAGTAGAAAATAGCTCAAAGAACCATAGTTAAAAAGTGGCAGTGCTAGGATTGGAACCCAGGTCTGCCAACTTCTAGTCTAAGCCCAGTGTCCTTTTTCTATATCCTAGCTGCTGGAAGGATAGAAAGGCTCAGGAATTAACCAAGAGGATTGACAAATAGTGATGGGAGGAGAGGAGATTGTAGAAACAGAGACAAGGCTCTTGGCAAATTTTTACAGGCTCTGTGAATTCAAACTTGACAGAAGCACATTCTTTGTAGAAAGAGAAATCAAAGTCATGTTCCTGCTCTTGATGAGTTGGGTTTGTTACAGAGAGAGCTGCATGGGAGCAGATACATGCCACTGGAACTGAGGAAGATTGTATGTGGGCATTCCCACACCTGTGCTATACTTCAGATGCATATCTTCTTTCAGCAATAACTATTATGGGGTCACATCGTCTCTGGTCACTAGGTAAGAATTTATTCATATGACACTTGGTCGAATCTTCAGGGATTGATGAGGAATGCAGTTCATAATAGCCATTTCATCTGGACATCTCAAAGTTCATAGATGGAGAAAAGTACTCTTGGATTCCAGTTGGAAACCATGACCTAAGGGTAAACGCTATCTATTAGTGTCCTGGGTACACTGGAGTATTAGTGTTATTTGCAGTTTTTAATTTTAGGGTGAATATTGAGCGACTGGATATGGCCCAGGGAAAATAAACACTTGAAACCAAGGAGTCAGGAGGAAAGAAATGGGCCTCTCAGAGTAAGGAGGAGAGCATCTCATGTACATAACAGCCATGATAGCCAGCTGTTATCCATGTCTTTTAGAAGAGATAAGTATCTAATCAGCTACAAAAGGAATTTTCCCCCAATATAAGAACGAATACAGTCAAGCTGGTTGGATAGTAGACCAGAGTTGTAAAAACACCGTACATTACTCTTTAAGAAGAGTGAAAACGGAGATGTCAATGATTACCTCCTCTATGCGATATTTTGAGAATTAGCACAAGTTTCTGAAACAAGCAAGCACTCAATAAACGTTAGTTTCCTTTCTCTTTCTTTGAATAAATTTGAGTCATAAGATGGCGAGTATTTTTTTTTTCCCTAGACCAGGGGTTGGCAAAGTACGGTCTACTGCCTGTTTTTGTAATGGTTTTCTTGGCACACAGCCACACCTATTTGTTTCTATATTATCTATGGCTGCTTTAGACCTAGCTACAATGGCAGAGTTGAGTAGCTGTGACCAAGACCTTACAACCTGCCAAGCAGGAAAATATTTACTTGATGACTCTTTATAGAAAAAGTCTGCTGATCTCTGCTCTAGGATGAAGATCAGCATGGATGAGCTCTCTGGGGTCTCCTAGAGATAGGATTCTATTATTGCTTTGGATAAAGGGAAGTTGACTCTGAAAATTAGAATGAATGAAGTCAAGGCCATTAGCATCAGTTAGAGATGTCATTTATGTGGCATTGGCTGTACCTGGCCCAGCCTAGTGCTTCTCTTTGGATCCATTAGAATTGCTATAGGTGTTTGTGTCAGTGAAGATGAGTAATTTTTATGCCAATCAAGTATGTGTGCTGAAGAAATACTTATCCCTGCCAGTTTTACTGCTGAGCCAACCGTTCAGATAACATCACGTTACAGCTCCCTACCTGAGAATAAAGAGTATTTTAAAAGAAGGCCGTATGAGGTTGACAGTTTGGTCCTTTCTCTCCTGCGTGAGTCGGCCTTGACCTTTTCAGGTGAGGCCAAGCTCCTCAACCAAATGAAAATGGGCCTAACAGAGAACAACACCTGTGTGATTTTTTAAAAAAATAGATGAGCCCTGTGATGGAACAAAAGATTCCCTTTAATGTTTTTGCCTTCATTTTGACTCTTTGTTATCAAGTGTACGATAACATCACATCTGAGAGTCACAATAAATGCTGTTTTTGTGCCATCATAAGCTCCCCCTCGTCCAAAAGCAGGTTGATTTTATTCTTTCTAACTGGTGGACTCTTGTTTCAAAGGCCTTGAACTCCAGACTCCAGGCTGTTACTGAAAGGGCTTTCACATGTCAAAAGGAAGCATCTTTAGCTGGAACAAAACAGCTCAAAGACTCTATTCTCTCTGGTACTGAGCCTTGAAAATGAAAATAAAAGCAAGGCGAGGGCAAGACCAACCAATTACACTGCAGATACAAGAGCCCAGCAGCCGGAGAAGTTCCCAGGGGCCCCTGCACTCACCTCTCGGTGATATTCTTAGCAGTCTGTAGGAAACGCGCATGATCATTCTCCTTCAGAGAGTGTTCCGCTTGGGAGATGAGTGATGCCGACCGCTCAATGCACTGTTTGCAGTTTGCAATCTGTTGTGCCAGTTTGCGAAGCCTCATCACCTTGAACAAAAGAGGCATGGAGAGAGATGGTTACATGGGTGGTCTTGCTTAGTGAAAAGGCATCAGGCTGGATCCTTCATTTTGCTGTGTTATCCTTCCATAAAAGATCAAAAAGTAGGCATAGAGATATATCAAAATATGGAAAGCTCCGTTTTGGGACTCTGGTTTAGATATTCTTTATCTCATTGGAGAAGCGTTGCTAATTTGTTTTATGAGGAAACACTGAATTGTGAATTGCTTCCCTGTTGATGGGAAAAAAAGGTGTTGCCCAGTGGCAACTTACAAAGGGTCACCAGACCTCCTCCCTGGACTATTCCACACAATGACTGCAAGACTGTAGGGAACCCTGGAACTGTCTCTATCTCAGGTTTATCTTCTTTTCATCAAGAAGATAAAATATCTTTATAGGTGGTGAATCTATGGTTTAAGTAAAAACTATTTTCTAAAAAGTTTTTTGCAATTTGTGTAATAAAATCGGGAATGAAAAGCATTAGGTGTTACTATTTCCCACACTACCTAAAACTCATGTGTTAAACTAACAGAAAGGGAGCATTTTTCCCATTGATTAATATTTTTCCTGTTGAGCAGATGAGAGAAAGCCAAAAAAAGCACAGCTGGGCCATTTCCCCTCACTGGGAACGTCATTTCCAGGCACTTTGTGCTTACTTGATAACTAGGAACTATTTTGATAAGCATTTCCCAGTTGGGATAAAAACGCATGATTGCTTCACAACCTCCATTCCAATTCCTGATTCTGTCTTGCTTGAAAATGTCCCTCAAACATAATTGACCATAACCTCCGGGGCAGGCCAAGATAAGTCCAAGGTAACCCACTTGACCGTTCGCTCTGGTGTTTGAAATGTGCTGTGAGATGAAGTCCTCTGGCCAGAAGCCAAGTTAAAATTAGACAGCTAATTGAAATTGCCGTGTGCCTAGTGCCCCCAACCACACACCCAGGGACAAATTTCAGCCGGCTTTATGATAATTCTGGAATGGAAAATAGCCCTGGGTGAAAGGGTATGGAGGAGGCCAGTTAATCTGTCTTACTGACAAGGCTGGCTCAAGGCTCCCTTCAGAATTCCTGCTAATTCCAAGAAATTCCTTCTTTCTCCAAGTCGTCATTACTATCCCTGTATAACTCTAATCTAAGAAAAGGAAGGAAGGAGATGTCAGAACTTGAGGCCTCTAAGGAACATCCAATTCCAAGTATGTACTATAGCAAACAAAGGAAATTCATACTGAGTTAGAGGCAGCAGGTACAAAATTTCAGGCAAGGGTGAGAAAAATTCCTGAAAGAGTCAGAGAATGAAGTGTCAAAACTTTGGGGCAAATAATATATGATTGTGAGCCTGGTAAAAGACTTAATGCATTGTAATTATAGTTACTGTCCCCAGTGGATTAACTGTATTCATTAGTGGAATAAAATAACACTTATTTTACACCAAATAGAATTTAGCCTCTGGCATCATTCTATCTGGAGGCAAAGCTAAGGAAGGCATCCAGTGCAGTGCAGGATATTAGAACATGTTCATAAGAAACTGTGAGAGGAAGGAAAATTCCAGAAGGAAAACTAATTTACAGTCCATAGAACAAACCAAGTGAATGGAATATTTAATCACACAGCATAAAGAATCATTTAAATTATATGGCAGAATTGCAGATGTTTAATACAATTCCAACAAAAGAAAATAAGGTCAAAATATTCCTTTAGAATAACTTCATGACAACTACTTATCCTTTAGATATGCCTATTAAAGACCACACACGTTTCAAATGCGATGATGCTTGAACTCCAGTTTCTTTTCGTTTTCTATCATGATATTGAACATTAAAAGTGACATAACAGGAAAAAGAATAAAAGAGCTCTAAATCATGCAAAAATTAAAGCAAGACAAAATGAGAGTCTCCTGTGAAAATACTGGAATGTTCTACAGAGAACAATTTTGGGCATAATTTTAGTTATAGGTTAGTGGACAATTTCATCTGATACACCTGATTTGAGCTTTGCAAACCTAGTGTGTAAAATAATCAGCTGGGGATCATTTTGAAAGAAAAACAGTAGATGTTTGGGTTATTCTCCAATATTTGAGTTAAGGAGTTGTAATTCGCAGAGCAGGAGGAATTTGCATTTCAACAAGCAACAAATGTTTTTAAGTCTGCAGGTGATGAATCATTAGGACAGTCAGGACTAGCCTTTAAAAAACCAAATAGAAGAGGAGAAAAGCAAATAGCAGAGTGCATTCCTGGTAAAAAAGGCAAGTTGGGTTTTGTAAAACCTTTTGTGTGTGTGCATGCGTGCACGCTGTATTGTGATGTCATATGTATTTCTTACTGTGGGTTACAGTAAAAAAAAGAAAAAAGAAAAACACTGCTCTAAGTTAGGTGTTCATAGGCTGTGATTTGTGGGCCAAATCAGCATATGGCCTGTTTGTGTAAATAAAGCTTTATTGGCACACTACCACACTTATTGGTTACACATAATCTATGGCTGCTTTCTTGCTACAATGTTGTGCAAAAGTGAGTTGCTGCAACAGAGACCGTATGGCAAAGCCTAAAATATTTATTATCTGGCCCTTGACAGAAAAGTCTGCTGACCCCTGGCTTAAATGATTACAGTCAGATGGCCCTGATTTGCAGCACACTCTGAAATACTGTCCTACTTGTCACAGCACTTCAAACTCAGACACCCAGCATGGAGCGAAGTACTTAGTTTTCCATTAGACAACACTTTTTAATGTATTATTTTTAAAAGCTGACAAGGTGAATAAAATTTGATGTTTAAAAAATATTAGATACTGACACATAAAAAGATTCTGTATATGTCTGCCTTAATGCTGCAGGGGAAATGTTTTCCAGTCAACTCTTCATTTTTCCTTTGGGAAGTGAGATTACCACATTGTAACTTTTGGAATTCACTCTGTACTCGTCATGGAAATAGTTTGCCTGCTGGAATCTCCTTTTAGCAGGGACACAGGCCTGTTTATATCATTTTATTTGCTGTTTATTATACCTTACACATTCTTTTAAAAGCCGTTTTATTTTGCTCGAAATGCATTTTAAACACTTATTTTTATATAAATGCTTTTTATATGTATGTAGAATATACACTCCAAAACAACTAGGTCCAAACAATGCATCCTCAATTCACACAAGTATCTGAACTGAAGATGAGCACTGTTCTCACCATCTCTTTAAGGCCATGGAGAGCTCAACATTTAGTCCAAGTTAATTCTCTTAAACTTTGAAGATTTAGTGTACGTAAAAGGCAGTGAAGAAAAGGGACCCTTATTTTGTTGAGCTTTGGCCTTCAGAAGTCTACCATAGATCTCTGTGTCTGAACATTAAATGAATGAATTCAATCTGGAGTTAGCTCTTTGTGTGTTGACATAAAACTTATCCCTGACTACTGAAAAAAAGAAGAAAATTCTTTCCCAGGGAGCCTCATGGCTTAAGACTCTCCGGTCCATCCACCTATAAAGGCTGTTGAGTTAATTTGTTTCAGAGAATGTACAATGGTCCAAGAGCAGGAATCATCAGTAGGTACTAACGCGTAATAACATCACCTGCTTGGTGACCTCCTCAATTGCAGAATTTGAGGTGAGTTTGACAGCTGGGTGACTAGTGTCAGAGATAGACAGGGGCAAAATAAGGCAGTTGATGAAACTCACTTTTGTGGTCTCCACAATTCTGCCTGGTTCTTGCTCCACCTGCCCACTTTCAATTGCTTGTCAGAAGGCCGCACCATCCCTTCTTTAGACTCAATGCCTTCAGTTGCCACTGCCACCCTGGGGTGCAGGGACCCAAGTCCCCCAGTGAACCCGAAGTCCACACTTGCCCTCCCTGTCTGGCACCTCAGATTTCCACGGGTTGGCATTCACGACCTTCCTCTTAAAAACAGGCCTCTGACACAATATGCCCTGGCTAGGGACTTGAGTCACTGTGAGTTTCAGGGTTTGGAATCAACTACTCCTTGGTCATGTGCCAAAGTACTAACTCAAGAGAAAAGGAGTGGGCTGTCACCTTTCCCAAGTAACATCTACTTTCTAAGATTGCCTTCTGAGATAATGTTGCTGAGCAAACGTGTACTTTTAAAAAAGTGAAGCATTCCATACATACAAAAAATTTAAGAATATAATGAACTGTCTTGTACATAGTACCAGGTTTACTAAATCTCAGTATTTTCATCATATGAGCTTCAGAGTTTTCAAAAGGAAGTAAAAAAAGATTTTTTTTTTTTTTTTTTTTTTTGAGACAGGGTCTTGCTCTGTCACCCAGGCTGGAGGAGTGTAGTGGCATGATTACGGATCACTGCAGCTTTGACCTTCCAGGCTCAAGCAATCCTCCCGCCTCAGCCTCCTGACTAGCTGATACCACAAGTAAACCTCTCACCTTGGCCTCCCAAAGTGCTGGGATTATAGGCATGAGCCACCACACCTGGTGGTAAAATATTATTGATAGCATTAAAGCCCCTGTGTGGCACTTTGTAATCTCACTCATGTCTCTCTCCAGAAGAAAAGACCTTCTTGAATTTAGAGCTAATCACTCCCAAACATATTTATGTACACATACCTAAACAATGTATGGGATTTTTTGGCAGTTTGTTACATTTTATATAATGCTTATCATTACATACAAATAATTATAAAACTTGTTTCTGTTTTTGTGATTTGTCCATGCTAATACGTATCACCCTAGTTCATTACTTTTAATTTCTGAAGACTTTTTCATTATGTAATACACAACTTATATGTCTAATAAACAGGTGAATTGAGATAGAATTTACATATAATAAACAGTACATAAAGTGCAAATTTGATAATTTTTCAAATATGTATGCACCCATGAAACAGTCACCACAGTCAAGATAATAAACATATATATCATGCCCCCCAATTTCCTCCTGCCCCTTTGTAATTAACTATGCCCATCCTTTCCTATCATCCCATCCCTAAAAGCAATCATTGATTTGCTTTTTGTCACTGTAGATTAGTAGAAAGTGC